CTCTCTCTCTCTCTCTCTCTCTCTCTCTCTCTCTCTCTCTCTCTCTCTCTCTCTCTCTCTTCTTCTTCGTCGTGGTCTTCTTGCAGGTGCGCGGCAGCTTCTCCAACCTCGAGTCCGCTATGGCGGACTGCGTCCCTCGGCGGCCACCTCCGCTATGGCGCTTCAGGCCCTGCACACGACTGCACGCATGGCATAGCGGGTACCAGCTCCGATACCAGTGCAATCAGACCCGTCTCATTCACACTTTTCATGCATGTAAACAGCAGCACAGCAATTTGGCAACGTGCGCCCACACAGTACTCAGAGATATGGCATCCCGATAAGAGTTCACTTTCACTGGCTATGGCGTCTCAGCGCCCAACAACTCACTGTTCACACACACTGGATCACCCTGGATATCCCACACGCATCACCCTGAACACTCACACAACACACACACACGCATCGCTCTAAGCTACAGCTATGGCAGCTATGGCTGCCTCTACCCTATCGTTATGGCTGCACTTCATCTCTCTCGCCCACTTCGTCCTCGGGCGCTACTGCAGACCTCCTCGCACAAGCCGCTGAGACAGCGCTTCCGCATGGCTTCCGCAGGAATGAATGAATGGTTGTGCGCGGCCTCTTGATTTATACTTCTGTGACTCGTCGGTCTGCCCTGTTTCCCTGGCCCATGGTGCACACAGTCCCAGGCGGGACCGGACGGACTGGACTAGGACTGCTGACTCTGCGCGGTGGACTTCCACCACTTGCCCACTTGCCTCTGCCTAAACTTGGGCAGCCTCGAAAGGCCACCACTGAGACCTTCTAGAAGGCCGTGGACCTGGCCTTTCGGTCCTGTCGCAGCTACGACCTTGACTCTTCATGACTGGACTAGCTACGACCTTGACCTTTCGGAAAAGTTGTGGCTATGACCTCTAAACCTGACTAAGACTCCTAACCGGCAGGTCTACAGATCAAACCCATGCTACCTACAGACCCTACGACGGCCTACCAACTGTTACAAATACACAGGTCGTGGGATCGAGCCCTGGGATCGGCGTCGGCTACTGCGAACTGGTGAATACCGTTTCAGTACTCACCTGAGAAGATAATGGCGAAACCCATGACCGCGTGAAGAAAAAACAAAAGCAGGAAACAAAACAAAGCCATAACACAAGTCAAAAATCCACGACGGATATACAACGGAAGTACGGCCATAGGGTTAGCCCCTAAATGTATGAGTACTGAATTCCATAATAGAGACAGTAGCACAGAAGTGGACACAGTGAAGTGAAGTTATATACAGCACATCGACGACAACAGGAGATCTACGACAAAAAGAGCAAGTACAGAGCAGGACTACGGGAGACACAGAGGAAACGATGATGATGACGTTGCAGGGCAGGTGGACAAGTAGCTGGCGAGGGTAAGGAGAATAGGGTATAAATTCAGAGACAGTGGCTGAAATGATTACCTAAGCAGTGAGGTAGAAGGGTAATCGCGACAGTGGTCGCATGCCATGGACAGGACGTGTATGCTGCGAAAGTAAAACCTCGCACGTGTTGTCTAATATTGCAAGTGTGTATCTCAAGGCACGATGCTTAGAACTTGCGGGCGGTACCCGCGATGATCGACACTGAATCTACGTGATACATTAGTCTTGTCTTCTCATCTATTATCTGTTCTGTACTTTCGTTAGCTCTTATTTTCTTCAGTCTACCATCTCTCATCTACCGTATCTTATTCTTTTGTTTTCCCTTGCTTTGTCATTCGGCGATTTGGAGATTTTTAGCATGGAGATTCCATATACCGTTTTTGGAGATTTCGGTACTGGCGTTTGGAGCATTTGTATGTTTGTACTATTGGCTTATCATTTCTTATTGACGATCGACAGTGGTGGTTACCCGAAGATCCTGATACCTCAGGGAGATGGCGCGGTCGCGCTCATCATCGGACAGAAGGAGGCGCAGGCACTCATCATCGTCCTCTGGGTCGCACGGGAGAAAACGCTAAAGAAGGGGGAGATCTAGAACTCCGAGAGACCGACAGCATAGATCTAAATCTCCAGCAGCCAGGAGGAGGAGAGCTGAATCGGAGTCACCGAGACGATTTGCTCGACCACAATGGGAGCAACGACGCAATGATTTCCCACCACCTGGAAATCGAACGTGGTTTACGGCCGATCTGAAGGAAGAAATTTTCAAGTTACGACGGGAGATGGACAGAGTGTTGAAGATATTGGAGCAACCCACCTCGAAGCCTTCGATGCCTGAGAAGAACGATGGAGGCATGAAGCGATCTGAAGTGACACTAGAAGAGCCAAAGAGGAAGGATCTAGTCACCGCATCTGAACTCAAATCAATACTGGACAAAGCACTGAGAGTGGACTCACCGAGTAAGAAGCAGGTGCAGACAGCGCAAGTTCCAAACACACAAGCGGGGACGAGTGGAGCAGCGGATGATGAAGGCAAGGTGGAGAAGATGGTGTCGGAGGTACGGAGGGATGTGAACGACCTCAAGCTCCTCAAGTACGATCTGGCAGCTGTGAAAGGAGCGTTGCAGAAGATCAATGAACCAGCACGGACACGTACACCCATAGTATCATCGTTCGTGCATCCATTCCAGCCTCTGGGACCAAGTACGGGACTACCGGCCTCTGTGCACGTCAGCCACAGTGCTCCAAGCTGTAGTCGACCAAACCACAGCCTTCCAAGTCGGAGTAGATTAAGCTGGCCAGTTCTTCCACATCCTAAGCGGGGAAGAACAAAGACAACACGTCGAACTACAACAATGAAGAAGAAGGCGAAGCGGAGCATCAACTTCGGCTACGAGCCGATATCAGACATGCAACTCCTCCGCTTGCATTACACGGATTTGATGTATCTGTGCAAGATGTACAGCATCAAGTACAAAGATAAACCTCAAGCCATATCCGATCTACGCAGAGTACCAGGGCTGATAACAAACAACAGACGTGACTTCAATCGTGACTCAAACCTCGAGACACAGATCAGGCCTGATCCGGACAACATCAGGATTGAGGCGTCCAGCTATGAAGATACAGGCGACGAGGATGAGAATTCGGAATCAAGTGATGGAGATGAGGAGGATGACTCATCACACACCTTTTCAAGCTCTGAAGACCTATCGGGAAGGTAGATGGGCTACCCCCTGCGGGTGGACTCACCACATCACAAAAATGGGAACAGATTCACAGATTAGCAGCGACAATAGAATGTCTAGTGAATACGGGTAAGATAAGTAAATGCCAACAGTATAATATACGGTATAGACTTCTGCTTATTTCACTAGCACTAAACGGAGAAGTACCATGGGCAGGTTCGCTGGTTGACCTGTGGGTAGCCCAGTACCAATCTATTGATTCGTTACTAATGGCTAGTTATAGTGTATAC